CTCTCAGCAGTATTGGCTTACCATGAAATGTTTGATTCCTTTAATGTTACCCATCTAATTCTCTAATGGATATTTTGAAAGAATTCACATTCCCCATGTCAAGTTTAGTGACACCAATATAAGGAGTTTAACATCCCAGGTTTTACGTTTTATATTAATCACATGTAGTGCATATCACCAATGATTAAGCTAGTTAAAACTGGACCCAAATATTTTAATGCACCCAGTGAAGCAATTTAGAAAGGATACTAAATACAAGAAAAAAATGTAATGAAATATTTGGGCAAGGATGGAATTAATAAAAACCAAAGCAGTTATAAGTTAATGTTCCTGTAGAGGCTGACTTACCTCATTTATTTCAGGAATTGTATTTTTTGTTTTGTGTCTCCATCAAAATAAAATATGAGCATAATATGATGAGTTTATTCACATTAAGTAATGTTTATTAATCAAAAAATGCTACTAAATAAATTTACTCTATGATGCCCTTCCACTTGTCCTGCATGTAGCCTTGAATTGTTTAAAGGAATATTTTCTTTCTTGATACAAGTCTCATATAATCATATAAAGAAATATTTTTTAACCCGTCACTGTTTAGAAATCAAGCTTATTGTGTGTGTGTGCGTGTGTGTGTGTGTGTGTGTGTGTGTGTGTGTGTGTGTGTGTTTTGCCTACCTTTTATTTGTCTAAATGCTTCATGCTTATTGAATTTTCATTTGGAATTAAGGGATGTAAAAATCTTGATGGTGAAACACCTTATATTTAATGTTGAATGTAGTATATATAAAAAATCAATTATAGACTATTTTTGGAAAATACAAACCATAATTCCCTTTTAACATGTTAAATAAGAAGTGTAGAATGCATCTGCATTTGGATAATAATATAGAGGAATTTTTTGCATGTTTCTAAAATGGAATATAATATCTGAAATCAAAGTGCCCTGAAAAATATGAAATATTTGACCACTATGCGGAAAAAATTGCCATTTTCAAAAATTTAAAGTTAATTTAACACAAATGATTAAATTATTTAAATGTCTTAATAGTTCCATAGTATAATAATTGCTATGGAGTCAAATATTATACTATGTTGGATTATATTTATAACATACTATTTTTGTATTTAAATAGAGTACTCAGAAATTTTAACATGATTGTTTAATAATTAATTTTAACTAAATTCAGGGTTACTTGTCTTGTCATTATAATTATTTTCTGCATTGATTTTCTCATTTGGCAGGATAAACCAAAGTAAATAAATAAAGAGGCACAGAAACATTTTGTCTAGTTACTTTAAATCTCTGTAGGGTTAAAAATAAAAAGTAGCACTTAGACATATCTATGATTAAAATATGATGTGACTTATAAGATTGTTGACTCCATGCTATTGTTTCCCAGCCCAGCAATAGCTGTCAAATAGAAGCAAATTGATAAACTGTCCTGTGATAACACATTTCAAATCTAGTAATTTATTTATTTAACAAATGTCTGCTATTTTAATTGGTGACTGTTGATACATCAGAGCACTTTATTGAACCTAGAAGAGAAGAATTGTTTTTGAATTTATTCTGTACAAAACTGTCTATTAAAAGTGTTTCCTTTAAAAAAGTTTCCTTTACATTGTATGAATTACTAATTAGGGCATCTAAAATATACTACTTGGTTAAAAGATGGAAATATCAATATAAGCATAATGTGTGACACGAAGAGTTAATGAGTGGATATAAATTGTTTGGGTACATATGATATATATATATATATATATATATCGTATGTATACGTAGTGTGTATCCAATATAAATATAAATAAAACTATGTAAATGCCAATTACAGTTTCAAACATAGCAATACACCAAGAAACAAAATACATGTAATAAGTAAGTTGTGAAATATGTTAGATGGTAATTGATGCGGTAACAAAATACAGGAAGGAGGGGAGATGAAAGAAAGAAAGAGAAAAAAGAAGAGAAAGGTTCATAAGGGGTCAGTTGATTGGGAAAGATTCAGTGTTAAACAGCGGCAGACTTTACTACAAACGTGTGATTTGATCAAAGACTTAAAGAAGATGAAGGGATAGGCCAAGAGGATTTATTATGTAGAATTTTGTACCAGAACACTAATAGAAGAAATAATTTATTTTGAAGTTTAATGTAACCCAAATTGCAAATACAAAATACACCTTCACCAATCCAGATGTAAAAATTTTATGATTTTCCAAATCTTCTAAAGCTTATGGTAAAAAGTAGCATGTAACCTTATTTTTACAAAATAAAAACATGACAGAGGGTGAGTCCAAGTGCCATTTTAGTTTAAACTATATTTGATGTTTGCATTGATTGTACTTCATAGAGAATAATTAGGTAACCTCAAATAGAATAATATTCTTCATATTCAATATTGTGCATTATTTTATGAATACCATCATCATGTTCAGTGGAAGAGGATCCAAAGTATAAATATGAAGTCATGAAATAATCAACAGCAGAACTGAAGGAGCATTTAAATCTAATAATGGAAATTAACAATGATTTCAATTTATATGTATTTTCATATGATCTGTTTCTTAGTATTTTAATATCTATTTGTATTTCTTAGTGACCTACTTCTTTAACTCTCTATACCTTTTTATGTCTCTGATAAATATATTAAGCACCCAGAAGATACTGCCATTGAATTAGCAATATAGGACTTATCTATTTACTTGGAGGGGATACTTACTTATATTGTGTGTTAAGTAAAAAAACTTTGTATTTATCACTGAAGATTAAAACTTAAGGAATACAATAAACTTCAACAAAGCCATAGTTTAGTGGAGGTTGAAGCAAACATGAAAAAAATACAATGTATAAGTGCAATAAAAATAAGTTGCTGAGCACTGTTAATAGGGACCATGTAAAGCACTTTATACCTCTATATTTATCCTCAGTCCTATTAGATGGGTACTGATACTAACTCCATCTTAAAAATGGTTAAGTAAACTACAGAGTGGTTAAATAACTTGCCCATATCACATGGACATATTTTGGATTTGAACCTAGATCTTCAGACTATCTATACTGCTGCATTAACTTTATCTTCTTGATTGTTCAGAAGCAAGAGTGAGAAAATAACTCAGCTAGAAGCTGTGTCTGGAAAGGTTTCAGAGCAAGTATTTCCCACGCTGAGAGGCTAGGAAAAGTTTTTAACATGGAGAAATGCCTTGTGAAGATGCAATGAGAATCACAGCTGAATAGCAAGTGGTATTTCTATCTGACTGGATGTGAGAAACAGAGTTAGAGTGATGAGATTCCTGGAAGGGTAGACATGGTGGTCAACTTATGGAGGACTTTTGTCCCTTGCCAAAGGCTTAATCCTTAGTACAGGGATGGTCAGAAGTTTCATACTGGGAATCAACACTGATTTATAGGCATTGATATTTGCAGTTTCAAGCCATTACTTTTAGGGCCTTGTGGAGGATTAACTGGAAAGAAAAGATGAGATCTGAGAAAACTTTTAGAATACTACACAATAATTTAGAGAGAGGCTTTTGAATAAAGTTGGAATAGAAAAGAGGGAATGTACTGAGAAATATTTAGGAAACAATTGCTAATACTTGGCAATGTTATTAGGTATGAGAAGTGATGATGAGGGGATAGGAGACAGAAAATACATTACGAATTGCTAGCAAGCAGCTGGATATATGGCTTCCATTAATTGAGATAAGGGAACTTAGAGGAGAAATCCACTCAGTAGTGGGTGTGGGAGGAAAGTTACGTTCTGTGTTTTACACCTTGCATATCAAAATGGGGACTTCTGTAGACAGCTGGAAATACATGCTGCAGCTCCATAGAGAACTCAGTTCTAGATCTGAAAGTCATCTACTCATAGTATGCTAAGTAGAAGATGAATGACTTTTACCCAGGAATGAGCCATAGTCCCCCCACCACCAAAAAATTGTCAAGAACAAGTCTGGGGAATGCTAATGTTTATGAGGCAGAATCTTGATAAGTAGCAACAAAGAAAGCTTAGAAGAATTATTTTTAAATGTAGGCAGAAACAAGGCTGAAGTGAAAATATAGAAACCATGAAATTATATACTATACATCTCCTGTAAAATTCATACCTTAAATACTATAAAAATATTTTTTGGAATTAGTGAGAAGAGCAGAATTTTGTCTCTTATTACTATAATTTTAATGCATATTCTTTAGCATTGGTTTTACTAAAGTATCCTTTATATGATACTGTCAGCTTGGTTGGATTGAAGCATGTTATAAGAAAAGAGCAATGATACTTTTTGTTGTGTTTACTATGAATGGCTTTCTTTCCTTCTTTCTTTCTTTCCTTCCTCCCTTTCCTCCCCATCCCTCTCCTTCCCTTATTTTCTTGACTTTTTTCTTTCTTTCCTCATGTAAAATATTATGTGAATTAATTAAACATTTATGTGCCCCTTTCTACATTGACTACTGAAAATCTCAGACCCATTTCTGGGGACACCTTCTACTAGGAGCTTACTATACCCATTGTGTGAATTAACTTCACCTTTCCTAGCCTGCCAAATGTCTATTTAGTCATTTCTGTTTTTCTTTTATTAATTTTAGAGACAAAGTCATGCTGTGCTGCCCAGGCTGGAGCACAGTGACTATTCACAAGTGCAGTCATAGCCCACTGTATCCTTGAACTGCTGGCCTCAAGCAGTCCTCCTGTCTCAGCCTCCCAAGTAGTTGGGATTACAGGCACACTCCACTGTGCCTGGCTTCAGATTGGAGTCTTTCTTGTTAAGTTGTATAATTGTCATAAAACACTATAATTATTTGCGAAAACAAGAAAGAATATAAAAAAATTATATATTAATTTTGGAGATTTTTGTGTAACAATTTTGATCTAGTTGCAAACCTCGTTCATTAAATGTGCACTGAATTGAGTCAAAGAGGTTGAGAAATTGTCATTCCAGAACTCTGCTTATGAGTTTCTCTTGGTGGCAGACTTTGATCATGGTCCTATCTCGGTCTTCTGCAGTGACAAGGACCGTGTGTGCAGAACAATGTGACGGCAGATGCTACGGACCCTACGTCAGTGACTGCTGCCATCGAGAATGTGCTGGAGGATGCTCAGGACCTAAGGACACAGACTGTTTCGTATGTCTGCGATTTCTCTCTTTTATTATCCTGCTCCCCTTTCCCTCCCTGTTTGGCTCAGGCATATTGAATCTTTATCTTATTACAATAAGATCAACTTTAGCCACTTGAGGGTTAAGAAAAATGCTCGGCCCTCCTTGAAGTCATTCCCTCACTGAGTTGGCTATTGATTAACTAGAATTATTCTCTTCTGTTCAATGAATTGTATTTTCTGATATAATTTATATTACAAATGAGATTCACTGGAGAATATATTGAGATATCTTTTTAGAATCTAATAGCATCCTTTCTAGAAATGTAGCGATTAAGTGATTACCTGTTTATGTGGTTGCATCATTGAGTTCTGTGAGTGGGAGCAATTGCATTTTATTTCTTGAACATAAATTTAAATGTTATAGAGGATATATTTTTGAGTTTCAGTATTTTCTAGTTTAGATTTTTAAAGGTAATATTATTTAAAAATTTAAGATTTACAAATAGTTTGTTAGGGACAGTTTTTATATTTTGATATCATATTCCTGACAGTACTCTTTGTTCTTTGGCATACATATCAGCAATTCTGAGTTTTAGTTAAGTCAATTTCACATACAAAGAACACCAGTTTAATTTTAAAGCTAAAAATCTTAAAAATACACAAATATTTTTATAGTTGAAAATGAACACAGACATTTTTTTCTCTCAAATATCCAGCAAATATATGTAGTAGAATTGAGCTTTAAAAAAAAAGAAAAGAAAACCTAATTGCAGAAATGAGTAAACTGTATATTAAAGCTCTTATGATATGGACAGTAATTTCTTAGTTTTATTAATATCATAAGAAATATTGTCATCTGCACTCATTCAATAGTGAAACAAAAATACATACAGCAGAAGTGGATAGGGAGGAAGAAGAAAAGGAAATAATGTTAAAAATTTAAAGGAGATACTCAGCAAGTCTTGAACTGAGAACCTTCTTCTGTCTATCATCAGACAGAGGATGGAAGCTTGATTCTGAGGACACTGAACACTGCAGGTATTGTATTACAATTCCAAAACAACAACAATAAACAGCAATAGCAAAAACTCTCAGAAGTTTTGCAGTGCAATTTTCTTCATGGTTCCATTATCATGATAAGCACAGTACTAAGTGAACTTCAAATTATCACTCCATTATTTTTATGGAATGGACCAGTGATTCCACTTTGGCTTTTGGTACAGAATGTTCAAATACCAGACTAAGGCCATAGTGTAAGTTACATTGTTTTGTATGCTGTCTGAAAGGTAAATTTGTTTTATTCCTCTGACTTATGTTTCTTTGTTCCCAAGCAATCTGTGTACAACATTGCATAAAATATGTTAGTAAAGCAATTATAAGGACACATGAAGTTTTATAGCCATAAATTAAAACTTACTGAGTTTTCTAGATTGGTTTTTAATGGATTCTTCCTAGAATGTGTCATCTTAGTGAATAATGTATCATCAGTAAGTCTCGTTCTGATTATGCATCTAGTAGACCATCATCAGGGAATTGTCATGTTTATGATAAAGTGCTTGCTAAAACAACAATTGATGAAGCAAATGTTTTGAGGAAACAGAATAGATTAATGCTTATTAATAACCATATGTACTATTTATGATTAAATGTAAATCATAGCTTGAGTTCAGATTAGTTTGCTTCCCAAGCCCTAAATTATTCCTAAAATGGCTTGGTTTCTTAATAAAAAGAATTAACTCATCCACACTTTTGTTAATCACATGTTTATATAGACTAATACACATATTCTGTTTTTATATCAAATGCCTACCTCTCAGGTGATAAAATTGTTTTAATTCTTCCCAAATGAATTTGAAAATATTAATAAATTGAGTTCTTAATATAAATATGTGAGTCAGCAGAAATGAACTTACTTCTACATGATGGCTTTTACTGAGTGGAGTGGCATTAGGAAAAAAGACCTACTAGAAATTACATCATATTATTTAATTATAAGCTAATTATAGCTAGTTATCTCTTTACATTTTGGCATTGCATATACTGTATTCATATTTGGCTAGTCACCAACCAGAGCTGTTTCTTTAAGTCCAATGTAAATGACCATCACAATGTTTTCTTACTAGACAATGGTGATAATTTAGCTTTACACATCACATGAGACATGGAACTCTTTAAAATACCAGCTCTAATTGACTTCACCCACACATTTTGAACCAGCACTTCCTGCTCAATGCTGGGTAGCTGGACTGGATGATGACTAGCTCAAGTGAATGCCTACCCTGTAGAATTAGGGATTTGGTTGCAAGTGCTGTACTCTAAGATTAAGCATAAATGCTTTGAGTAAGTGTAAACTTCAATAATTTTTCACTGTTAGCTAACATTCAACCAATTCTCAATTTAGAAATTACTAGATACATATTAATCACTTTGAGCATCAGTAACCATAAATGACCTATTTAGTGACACTGCAAAAAAATTTTTATGAAATTTAAGAAACATACATGACTCTAAAATTATCAAATTTTTTTAGTATTTATGGAATAATTATATACTAAGAAAACAACTTTTGCATATTGGGCAGTGTTTGATTAACAAGTATTATGAAGTTTACTTGTAAATGAAAGTAATATTTGCTATGTTGCAGGCCTGCATGAATTTCAATGACAGTGGAGCATGTGTTACTCAGTGTCCCCAGACCTTTGTCTACAATCCAACCACCTTTCAACTGGAGCACAATTTCAATGCAAAGTACACGTATGGAGCATTCTGTGTCAAGAAATGTCCACGTAAGTAACAGAATAAGAATAACCAAATTAATTAGGTCATTATTTGAAATCAGAGGAATTGTATGTTAGTTTATTTTAATTTGAAGCTTGTAAGAATATTGTTAAGTACTTTGGCTATAGGTGAGTATAGGTACTATTACCGCCATTTTATAAATAAGGAAACTAAACCAAAAATTTAAAGTGGTTGGTGTAAAGTTTCATAGTAAAAGAATGACGTGTTTGAGGTTATAAAACTCTTACTGTTTTTACTATACCACAACATTTTTTGCCTGTCGTACCACTTCTCCAAAAAGTAATTAGTTAAGTGGCAGCAAGCTATGTAATGAATAGGGTCTGATTCTTATTACAATGGATTTTTACCTAAAATTACTTCTGATTCCTTATTTGTAACTAGAATATTTAGCATTATAATTTTAATATCAAATTAACCTTAAACAATATATATATATACACACACACAGATATATATATATATATATATATATATATATATATAAAGAGGGAGAGAGAGAGAGAGAGAGACAGATTTAATAGCGAATTAACCTTAAAACATATATATAAAGAGTATGTTAAAGGATCTTAAACAAATTGATAACATCCTGAGGATTCAAAATGAACAGCTTAACTTTCATCAGATATTCAGGATAATATATTGATATTTGCGTGAATCTTTTTTTTTTTTTTTTGCTTTGAGTGACCAATGAGATATTTCCTGTTGGAAAGGCAGAAAAAAAATCACTATATATGTTTGTATACTCATTTAAAAGAATTCTTTACAGTCTGTACCATACATGTAATGTGACTTACTTCACTTTGTGTATGTGATACAGTGGGAAGTTCAGGCTGAGCATCCATAATCCAAAAATCCAAAATCTGAAATGCTCCAAAATTTGAAAGCTTGAGTGCTGACATGATGTCACAAATGGAAACTTCCACACCAGACCTCATGTGATGGGTCACAGTCAAAATGTACACAACACAGTTTATTTAGTGTTCCCAAAAGGGGGAAAAAGAAACACACTTTCAGCTCCTTTCAACTGTGATGTATCTTTTTCATGTATACCCAGACTTCCCCAGGGAAGCATACCCACCAAGGGTAATAAAATGGCACATGTGCAGGCCAGACACACCGATGGGAGGTTTTCCTAAATACCCCACATGGAACCAAGACCTTTGTGCATTACTCACTGGGTTTTGTTGCTTATTCTATGCTCTGAGGTGTTGAGATATTGTTGAAAATGTCAAAAAGGCCTGCAGCTATCCCTCTGAGTAAGAGTGGAAAGAATAAGAGGAAACATTTATGTTTATCTGTAGCACAGAAAGTCAAGCTTTTGGAGAAATGGGAGAATGGTGTAAGTATGCAACATCTTAGAGAAGAGTGCAGTGTTGGAATGAACACTTTGTGTGACCTGAAAAAACAGAAGGATAAACTGTTGGAGTCCTGTGCTGAAAATGACAAACAGAAGCTAATGAAAAATAGAAAAACACTGGATAAAGCTAATAATGAAGATCTTGCTTGTGTATTGAAAGACTGAATTTGTCAGCATGTAGCTGAACATATGCCACATAATGATACGCTGATCATGAAACAAGCAAAGATCTAGCACAATGAACTGAAAGTTGAAGAGAACTGTAAATATTCAACAGGCTGGCCACAGAAATGTAAGAAAAGACATGGCACTAAATCTTTAGAGATTCATGGTGACAAAACATCTGCTGATTACAAAGCAGTGGAGAAATTTATCAATGAGTTTGCCCGGGTCATCACTGATAAATATCTGACACCAGGACAATTCTGTGATGCTGATGAAACATCACTGTTTCGGCATTGTTCCTCCAGACAAACACTGACCACAGTTCATTAGACAGCCCCTGCAGGAATTGAGGATGCCAAAGATAGAATAACTGTGCTGGAATGTGCTAATGCAGCAGGGACACATCAATGTAAACTTGCCATGGTAGGCAAAAGGTTGCATCCTCACTGTCTCCAAAGAGAACTTCTTACCAGCCAATTATTAGGCTACCAAAAATGCATGGGTTACCAGAACAACTTTTCTTATTGACTTCACTCAAGCATTTTGAACCAGCACTTCCTGCTCACTGCTGGGAAGCTGGACTGGATGATGACTATGAGATTTTGTTTTTTCTTGACAACTGTTCTACTCATCCTGCAGCTGAAACTCTCATCAAAAATAATGTTTATGCCATGTACTTTCCCCTAAATATGACTTCATTAATTCAGCCATGTAACCAGACTATCCTTCATTATAGTCTGAAGAGTAAATGAAGAGTAAATACAAAAACACATTTTTCCCCCTTTTTGAGACAGAGTCTCTCTCTGTCTCCCAGGCTGGAGTGCAGTGGTGCAGATCTTAGCTCACTGCAACCTCTACCTCCCAGGTTCAAGCGATTCTCCTGCCTCAGCCTTCCGAGTAGCTGGGACTACAGGCACTTGCTGCCACAACTGGCCAATTTTTTTGTATTTTTAGTAGAGACAGGGTGTCACTGTTTTAGCCAGGTTGGTCTGATCTGACCCCATTATCCGCCCACCTTGGCCTTCCAAAGTGCTGGGATTACAGGCATGAGCAGCATGCTAGTAGCAGTGAACAGAAGCCTGGGTGTGGGTAGGTTTTCAAAAGGAGCTTAGCCTGAAGAATGCTGTATATGCTGTTGTCAGTGCTTGGAACACAGTAATTAAAGACACAGTTTTGCATGCCTGGTACAGCCTCTGACCTGTGACTATGTTCAGGGAAAAGGTAGTTGCTTGGAAAGATTCCCTATGCCAAGTAAGAAAAAAATATATTTTCAGAATTCGTCAGTAAGCTGGAAGAAGTGGATATCACAGAAGTGTTTAACATTGATAACAAGTTGTTCCTTTATTGACTGATGGTGAAATAGCAGAAGTGGCTCTGTATAAAAGTGATTGTGGTAATAGTGACAGTTAAGATTTTTTAACATTGCATAAAAAGTTCCTAGAGATGACTTGATGAAAATGTGTAATGAGCTTATTGAAGGACTAGGGCATGGTATATTCATAGCAGAACAAGAAATCATGTGAGTTTATGCAATTAAAACGAGACTTCTAAGACAAAATTCATTGTTAATGAGGCAGATGACCCCGGAGGAAACATTTTAGAAAGCCATCCAAGCAGAAAGCCCCCTTATCCCTATAGGACCCATTCCCTGATTCCTCAACTGTTTCTGATGTTTCTTTGTACCTAAGAAAACACAGTGTATAGTAACCTTTTAATCAAAACACAGCGTCATAGGTAGACACTAAAAGCCTGCATTGTTTATTGTTGCTCTTGTTTCACAGCTGATACAGGTATTCTGGTGATTCTACTGTGATACCTAGTTATTCTGAGCACAATATCTTTTCACTGTGTTAGTGTTATACTTTTTTTTTTTTTACTTTTACATATTTATGTGTGAATAAGTGTAAGAATGTGATTGCTTATCAGTAGTATATAAATTTAGTGTCATGAATGATGGTGATGCCAAATAACCACAGATTGCCCATGCAGGTGGCTGAGATAGTGATACCTTTGTTTCTGATGGTTCAATGTACACAAACTGCCTTTCACAGAAAAAATTACTTAAAATATATAAAATTACCTCAGGTCATACGTAAAGGTGTATGATTCATAAAAACTGAATATAGTTTTTAGACTTGGGTCTAAGCCCCAAGGTATTTCATTATGTTTATGCAAATATTACAAAATCCCAAAAATTCTGAAATCTGAAACATTTCTGGTCCCAAGCATTTTGGGTAAGAGATACTCAATCTGTATAAGGGACATGGGTTTAGAGTGTCTATGGATTGTGGCTTTGTCTCTTTATTAGTTACATGATTTTTAAATAAAACATTTAGTTCTCTATTCCCTCTTCTTTAAGATGTGGGTTATAAAAATTATATCTCTGGCCAGATGCGGTGGCTCATGCCTGTATTCCTAGCACTTTGGAAGGCTGAGGTGGGTGGATCACATGAGGTCAGGAGTTCGAGACTAGCCTGGCCAACATAGTTAAATCTGGTGTCTACTAAAAATACAAAAATTAGCTGGGTATGTTAGCACACACCTGTAATCACAGCTACTTGGGAGGCTGAAGTAGGAGAATGCTTGAACCTGAGAGGCAGAGGTTGCAGTGAGCCAAGATCATGCCATTGCACTCCAGCCTGGGCAAAAAGAACAAAACTCTGTCTTAAAAATAAATGTATTTATTTTCCTTCCCTGCTTTCCAGAGTCATTATAACAATCAAAGAGATAGGTAGGATATAAGGATAAGAGGGATAGATATTTTATTTTTATTTTTGGAGACAGAGTCTTGCTCTGTCACCCAGGCTGGAGTGCAATGGTGCAATCTTGGCTCACCACAACCTCCGCCTCCCAGGTTCAAGTGATTTCCCTGCCTCTGGCTCCTGAGTAGCTGGGATTTCAGGCACATGCCACCAAGCACAGCTAATTTTTGTATTTTTAGTAGAGTCGGGGTTTCACCATGTTGGCCAGGCGGGGCGGGTCTTGAAGTCCTGACCTCAGGTGATCCACCAGCTTTGGCCTCCCAAATTGCTGGGATCACAGGCATGAGCCACCACGCCTGGCCAAGAGGAGTAGATTATTTAAAAAGGCTTTGAAAACACAATTCTAGTCATTATTATGAAACATGTTCATATCCATTAAAAATATTGTGCTTTGTCTTCTTTATGTTTATATGTATGTATATTTAATATGTCTCTTAATTGACATTTTAAAGTCACAGACACACTAACTCTAAGACAGCAAAGATTTCACTTCTTAAATTTTTAATATTCACACCAGTGCTTTTCATCTAATACCCTCTTATCTAAAGTTACCCTATATGTCACCATCTAGCATCCTTACAAAACTGAGGACTTGGCAGTGTTGTAGAATGGGGCTAGATGATCGTATTTTTCCTCTTTTTAGACACATGTTATACTACTACCTACTCTACTACTTTCAAATTATGATGTCTTCCCCAAAGACAGTCAAAACTATGCTTTCTTGGAGTTTTTTGGTGCTATCCCTTTTATTCAAGTCCTGAGGTTGAAGCCCAAGTGTTGGGCTAGAGCAGAAGTACCAGGTAAATTTGAACTAGGGAATTCCCCTTTTCTTTACTATATACTTTACAGTGGTTCACTTTGAAGGCTGTCAGTTCCAAACTATAGCAACTAGCAAGTGACTAAATATGAAGACCTATTGTGTGAAATTATATGGCTGGTTCACTTTAAATGTGATAACTTACCGTCTTCCTTTCTCACATTAGTTTACATATCTCAAACTACAGACTCATTTAAAACACTTCAGTATTTGTCTATGAAAAAATTTAAATATCTGATGGGCGTGGCTTATAAGGCTTGTTTTGCCAAATTGAAGCTTTCTTGGGAAAACAAGGACATTAAGCTTCTAAATGCAGGTCTGCAGCATTTCCTAATCCAGAATTCTGAAATCAAAAAACTCCAAACATGTATTTTCTGAAACTCATTTGGCTACAAAAGTTGAATCTAACTGATATAAGGCTAATTATAATATTTACCTATTCCATTTGGCAGAAGTGGGAAAGTGTTTCATTGTAGCATATTTTTCATGATGCATTAATTTGTTCTTATTCTGCTATAAAGAAATACCTGAGAGTGGGTAATTGTTAAACAAAAGAGGCACAATTGGCTCATGGTTCTGCAAGCTATACAGTAAGCATGAGGGATTCTGGGGAGGGCTCAGGAAATTTTCCATCACAGTGAAGGTGAAGGGGAAGCAAGTGTGTCTTACACAGCCGGAGCAAGAAGAAGAGAGAGGCAGGAGGTGTTACATACATTTAAACAACCAGAGCTCATGCTAACTCACTCTTGCCACGACAACACCAAGGGGTTGGTGTTAAACCATGAGAAGCCGCCCCCATGATTCAGTCACCTCCCACCAGGTCCCACCTCCAATACTGGGGACTATAATTCCACATAAGATTTGGGTGGGGACATAGATCCAAACCGTATCACAAGACCTTGAAGAAAGAATGGCTATTTAATATCATGCATGTACCTGTTGCAGGTTGGGTTTCCCTAAGACAGAGAATGGATTATTAAGGAGCAGTCTCAAAATCAACACTTTTTGGGGAAGGAAAGAAAGCAAGATTGGATTTGCTTTAAACAAAGTGCCTGTTTGTTGTGGTGGATGCTTTCATGTGGATGTTAACTTGGAATACAAATTTGTTCCATACTTTGTGCCCACTCACATGGATTCACACATATCTCCTTGCCCCAGATTCCCTTCCTTCTCAAATTTTCCAGTATTTCTTCTCCCAGGACAAGCTCGTGAGTTCATATATATTCTAAGCTCAGGCTACTTCTCTTTTCATACGAATGAGTAATCAGTTTCACTACCTAGAATTATGCCCTTTGGTAAGATTTTCTCTTGTCTTTGTTTCAAGTCCACTCGTAGGTGAGACTGCAGACAGAGAAGCTGCCATCGATTGTCAGCTCATACCCACATAGCAAGTCTAGTTTATGTCTTACTCTGTCAGCTTGTCCTAAGTGAATTCTCTCAGCACCCACACAGCCACAGGCATGAGCTGACTGAGAGGGGCCAGCTCAGTGGTGGATGGCACAGGGGGGCAGGTCTTAACCATTTGCTTATGCAGTTTACTCCTGCTTCTGCCCCTACTCATATCCTACTTTAATTTTACAATGGATTGCTGCTGGACCTAGCCAGTATGATAACATTGTGACATGATAACAAAACCCTGTTCATGACAGACAATTCTGGCTACAAGGTCTGACCCAAGATCCATCTCTACCAGGACCCAGAAGCATATCAAATGCTGTTTATTAAATGGTGTACACTCCTATGCTACAGGTGGCATAGCTTAGCTCTAGAAACCTAGAAGTCTCTGTTGTGATTGTCTAATGAAACTTGTCATAACTCTACATGGCATGTTTTCCCACTGTAGATACTCCCAATATCATAGACCCTCTTGGATTTTATGACCCAAGTAGCAAGATTGCTTACATCACAACCTAGATCTACATGATCTGCCTTTTCTGCTTTGGGTACCCCTCAAGGCTGTAAGCATTCCACAACATTGCATCTTGTGCCAGAGCAATGTTCCCAAGCACGGAAGGATGCTACTTTTTGTTGTTTTAAAACCAGAGTGGCCTAGCAAGTATTGTGTTCCTATTTATTATGAGAGTCTTTAGATGTAATAATTTGTCCTTTATTTTGGAGGGGATGCTCTGGCATATCCCAGGTCACTGGATCTCTGGACATTTGATCCAAGTATTAGGTAATAAAGTGCTCCTTGTCTATTTGATAAACCTTTTGCTAAAGTACTACCCTTTCCAATTTTATTTTGTTTCCTCATATAAAAATGTGGGAAAGTTTTCATGGTACTCCATTGAAAAAAAGAACACATTTTAAGCATTTTCTCCTGGATATGAAGTATACTGTGTTGATCCGAGGCAGTTCAACTTCAGCTTCATTTGTGCTTCATGAACTTGAAGTATTTTAGACTGCAGACTTGCATCATGGCATGAAATGAAGTGGAACTATTGAAAAACACAAGCTGAATGTCATGCAGTTTTCTAAGTATATAAAGGAAATCTACTGTATCTTGGGGGCAATTCAGGATGTGGAGCAGTAACCAAGCAAGTACTAGCTGTTGATAACACACATCGCATTTGACTGGAAATACGATTTCAGGTTGGGATAATTAAACAATGAGTTGTTTAAGGGGAAGATATATAAATAGTATCAATGATGCTAATTATTTTCAAACCTTAAAATATCTTGTTTTGATCTTGTTTGCTGAATGTTAACATTATTGCTTATTTTGCCTTTTTATTAAAAAAAAAAAAAAACAGATAACTTTGTGGTAGATTCCAGTTCTTGTGTGCGTGCCTGCCCTAGTTCCAAGATGGAAGTAGAAGAAAATGGGATTAAAATGTGTAAACCTTGCACTGATATTTGCCCAAAAGGTAAGTGGTAGCTCAGATTATTTAGTTAGAACTGGGCCTGTATAACAAGGTTTTTAATTCACTTTTTAATATAAACCCACCCTCACAACCAAACCTGCCCACACATGCTTTCCAGGATTTTGACAGTTCCTCAAAATATCAACTTTTATAACACTGTATATTATTCAATTTAAATTATATCTACTAAAATGGTCCAGAAAAAAACTCAGAGGTAACATTGATAGGAACTCAGAAATAAAGTTGTGTGTTATTCTGTCAATAGCAAATCTTAAAAACTTTGTAAAAAATAAGAGTTCACACTGTTATATTGGCATCACTACACATATTAGCTGCTTGCCACTATATACAAAGTGATCTGCTAAGCATGAAAAGAGATGCAGAGGGACATGAAATTTACTCTCCATATCTTAAAAATGTATTTTGAAAGCTGACATCTATGAAATGATGAGAAACTTTACCATAAGTATAAAATAAATATATCCCATAATTCATGCCACAGAATTTTAGTGGAGGAAAGAATCTCTTCCAGCTGTGAGTACTCTAATTCCTTACCAGAATGAAACCTAAATTAAGCAAGATGAGAGTACAGTTTAAATCTCCTGAATGTTATTAAACTTTTCAAAGTATCAAGGAGTGCCTTAGCAAAGGACAAACTCCAGACATATTTTTAAATGGTATTCTCTCTCCTCCCTTTCTCTTTTTCTTTCTTATTCCCTCTTTCTTTTTCTATATATGCCCCACCCCCACACAGATTTGTTTGTTTAAATTAGAAGCTTCAGAAAGCATGTTCAATTTAAGTATAAGTATTTAAATGGCCCTTGATTCTGATTATAATTCACATCATCAGAACTCTGTTTACATATTCTCCGTTAGACCACTGTTTTTAAAATTTCAGGTGGTAGACCATTAGTATGTAGGCCATGAAATTATTTTACTAAAGTTACCAGCATTTCAAAATTATTAAAAACAATATTTTCAAATAGAGTAGAAAATAGATAATTTTATGTAGTTAGGAAGAGTATTGATTGATAAAATTTCTGTTAGAGTTGTGCATATGTTATGTGTGTGTGTATACTGGGTCTTGATATAAAATGTAATTCCTATGATGAGTCATGGTCGTTAGATTTTAATTCAGGGACAAGATTTTAAAGCAGAACCAGTAGTGAATGTTGAATGAATGAATGAATAATTATTTTACTTTTTAGAAAAAAAAATTGTAATATATTTTTGTATGTTACAATTAAAAATATTCTGCTATTTTATAGTGAAAATACAATGATTTATTGGCCAAAAATAAGTTCCTCGATCCCCTAACTCTCAGTCTCATTTCTACAGCTTGTGATGGCATTGGCACAGGATCACTGATGTCAGCTCAGACTGTGGATTCCAGTAACATTGACAAATTCATAAACTGTACCAAGATCAATGGGAATTTGATCTTTTTAGTCACTGGTATTCATGGGTCAGTATTAAATTTTTGTACAAATCATTTTACAAAGTGTAGACAAAGCTGGAGAGATTCTTTAGTTTTGTTTGTTTGATTCCTCTGGAACCTGAAGACTTTTACCTTTCATTAATGCTCCTCACCTGCAAAAGCAAGGGCCTGATTTCACCAGAAGTGACAGTAAACTAGTTTTGGAATTTGCTCAAATTTTAGTTTGGTGACTGCTTAAGGTTGAAAATATAAATTTGTATTTAAACTAAAATATATTTTTAGGACATTCTCTCAAATTCACAGTTTTCAGCAAGCTTCACTTATCTTTGAATATGTTTAGGAAAAAGTATCACCAGTTGAGGTGAGAGAAGTCATTGGAATTTCTAACTGATTAGGTTGAAACAATGTAAATTAATACCCTGTAAAAAGTCTGACATAAAACAAATCAGTAAGCCGAAATTCCCCTGAGCTTCTTCCAGAAATTCTTTGTCCTCATGTATTCTTTTTTTTTTTTTTCCCCTTCAGTTGGGAAGTTAGCAACACAGTGAGAAAGCCTGCTAAATGAATTTCATTTTAGTAGTAAAAATTGTAACATAATTTACCTGGGATCCTTCATTACAGAACTACCTGCTGGTTTTAACTGGGAAAAAAACAAGTTTGTATTCTTTGAAAGTCTGTATTTTAACTTTGCATGTTATCTATTTATCTATATTACTACTTAATCCCTAAATATTAGTGTTGTAGGCTACAGATAAAGACTATGTCTCATATATTTCAATTCAAAATCTTACTCTGAGCATATATCAAATCATTTCTAAAAGCAAACTAATTTAACATATTATGAATAAATATGTCCAAAGAGGAATGGGAAGAGCAATAGAACAAAATGTTTCTTTTCATTCAAATAAATTATATGTATGATTGCTTAAATATCTTGTTTATTTTAATAGGTAGCATTTAATATGGTCCCATGTTAGACAGTATAATACTATGTAGGTGGTCCCCACCCCATATTTTTTATATCTGGCCTAAGAAATGTTTTTTTCTAACTTACCTCTTAAAATGTATAGACTTGATAATTCTCAGCCCATATTCCTACATGGCAACATTCTGTTGGAACTGGGAAGCTGGATTAGTCAGTTATCACATTACTAATAAAGTTACACTTAAGACTGGGTAATTAACGAAGAAATAAAGGTTCAATGGACTCACAGTTTCACATGGCTGGGAAGGCCTCACAATCATGGTAGAAGGCAAAGGAGGAGAAAGGCATGTCTTACATGGTGGCATGCAAAAGAGAATTTGTGTAAAGAGCTCCCCTTTATAAAACCATCATATCTCATGCAACATACTCACTATCATGAGAACAGCATGGGAAAGACCCACCCCCATGATTCAGTAACCTCCCACTGGGTCTTTCCCACAACACGTGGGAATTATGGGAAAACAATTCAAGATGACATTTGGATGGGGACACAGCCAAAGCCTATTAGTGGCACTAGTCCTTTAGAGATGGGACACATTTAGTCAGCTTTACCATAGTCCCCCTGACCTTGTGAATCCATTTACATTGCTGTCTTACCCTCCTTGGATCATTGCATAAGAGATCTGGGACAATATTTAGGTGCTGTTTCATAATTTAATGCATACATGATATTTAATAAAGCAATATACCCACATTTTAACTATATTTAAAACCAAATATCACATGAATATAAGATTATATTATGCTAATAATGTCTTCTGAGAAATAAGAAGAGAGAGCCACTTGACTCACATTGCCTGCTTTCACCTGGAAATAATAAATGAATTAGCCTCAAGCCTTTCAGTATGAAGAAAGAGTTTAAATCATATTCACATGAATTGCATTAGACAGGTGGTTTTTATCCTTATTGGCCCAACATTCCGCTTTTATACATTAAGAAATTGCCACTTTGCAATTCTGAAATAAAATTTATAGATAATATGACTTACATATATATATATAATTATTATAATTCTCTAGTTGTAATTATACAAAGAAATACAAAAAAGTAAGATGCAATCAAATATATATCGCTACGGGGATGCACAGTTTCCAATGTGAAAATTTAAATTTATGAAAAATGAGATTAGAAGGCATTTTTGTGTAAGAAGTATCAGGAAATAAAAAGCAAAGGAAAAGCTGACCACTGGAATAGAAAATAACTAACCAGATACATTGTTATATGACCAAAAAAAGAGGGAAATGACTTTCATTGAAATTTGAGTAAATTGCTTCTTGGCTTTTTGGCTAAGATCAGGTGAAACTGGAGCAACACAGCTAGGGAATTATGCCTGGCCAAAGTATGACCAAGCATCAAGTTTGCACGTATGAGGTCCTAAATGTCTAGTAGGGTATTTTAAGGTTGTACAAAACATGAGGCAATCCTTTGATTTAAGGGACAGTTAACAACCTTGTGATAACCCCTGTAACCTGTAGGATTCCCCAATCTCTGTTACAACTGAAGCAACTCTACAGATGTGACAACTTTCTGTTAGTGGGTGGTACTGCCCCCACTGAGAAATACTGCAAGAATTTTGTGACAGTAGAAAGATTGCCAACCACCAAAAGTGACATGCTAAGTCTAAAATTCTTACAGATAAAACATGGGTAGGAAGGTTTCAAAAATATATGATCTATTGAGGTTCAGAATAGTTATTTTAGTCTTGGTTCATCATAGAACATAATTATTAATACTCTAGATTTCTGACGAGGCACGGTGGCTCATGCCTGTAATCCCAGCACTTTGACAGGCTGAAGCGGGCAGATCACGAGGTCAAGAGATCGAGATCATCCTGGCCAACATGGTCAAACCCAGCCTCTACTAAAAATACAAAAAGTAGCTTGGTGTGGTAGCACGTGCCTATAGTCCCGGCTACTCAGGAGGATGAGGCAGGAGAATCGCTTGAACATGGGAGGCAGAGGATGCAGTGAACCAAGATTACACCACTGCACTCTAGCCTGGGCAACAGAGAGAGTGAGACTCCGTCAAACAAACAAACAAACAAACAAAACCTCTAGAATGACTATAATGACTAAATATATTTATATTCACTTCTGGCTCAGAATGGAGGAAAGTTTAATAAATAAATACAATAAAAAATGTAAAGCAGTAGTCAAATGAATAAAAATGTATAAGACAGTAAGGACCATGCATTTACAAGTTTATGGGAAGAATACTACTTTGGACTAACCTAGACTTCTAAGAAGAAAAATACTGCTAATTTATCCCGGTGAAAAATTACTTATGGAAAATCAGCTTACATGGATTAAAAGTAAAAAGTATACCAAGTTTGTCTTAAACGTAAACTCATAAAATGAGAGTTAGAATTTCTTCTTGGGTAATTTGATCCAGAGTAGATTGGAGTCTGATTTGCAGCTCCACTATGGAGAGTTTGCATTGAGTTGGGTGGATTTCTTTCATGTCAAACACTAGGTTTCCTCCAATAAAAAACTTGAGAAATGGATTAACAATAAATACCTATTTCCTATGATTGTTGTGGTGATTAAAAACAAATTATTTTGAATTGCTCAGCCCAGTGCCTGGCATATCGTAAAACTTTAACAAGCGGTATAAAATAGAAGGTTGGAAGTGCAGGAAGGAAGGGAAGAGGGTGAGAGAGAGTGAGAGAAGGATGGGAATAAAGAGAAATGAAAATCAAGGAAAAACAAAACAGGAGGAGAAGGCAGTGCAAAAGAAAAATTGCAGTGCCTATGTCTAGCTTACAGCATAGCATATTGTACAACAAATATTAATTGTATAGACTTCATTATAGTCTTATATAGACCCTTTTGGAAACCAAATAAAGGCAAAATTTTCCTCAAGATGAGTCATGCTTCTCAGTTCAGATGATTATTTGTCCTTAATCATAGCACTTATACCTGGAATATTTGAAATTATAATTATAATTGGGTCTCAAATATAATTTATAAGATTTTTCCAGGATAAGCATGTAAATGAATTATGATGTATTCTTTATTCTCACTGTCATGCCAGCATGAAACATATATTCTGAAGCCTTTCTCTTTTATTTTAGGAAAGTATGGATATAAAGTTAATTCAGCAGACTTAGATATGTAATATATGTATAGATTCAAGTATGGTCATGAAGTGTGTGTGTGTGTGTGTGTGTGTGTGTGTGTGTGTAGACAGAGATATTTTTAAAGTCGATAATATATGATATTATAAGCAGAAACAATAAATTAAAGAAATGCTTTTCCTCACTTAATGTCCATTACCTTTAGTATTTTACTAACCAACTTTTATAAGATCATATGGTTTGATTAAAATAGCTGAGATGTTTTAACTAATAAAATGCAAAAATAATACTTAAATGCGGTTGTTATTGTTTTTAAAAACAAGTTTCTCCATAAAATATATTTACTGGCAACTTGCCAATTAAAATTTAAATATATAATTGGGCTCAAGAAAGTTAATTTGCATGTTTAGTTTATAGTACAATAGTACCATTGCGAGAAATAGCAGTAGGCACTCATTTTCTTTTTAGAATGGAAACTGCAGGAAACTTCAGTGTTTCGGGTTATCATTAGCAAAACTTTTCAACGTGTTTTGTTATGGTTTACACCATTGACGTGCATGTGCTTACAGTAACAAAATGCTCACCAAATAAGTATGTTCATGCTGTGTCACAATGAGACACTGCAAGAAATGGTTTACATGGTAGACTGCAATGGTGCTAGAAAATGGAAGATAAATAATAAGCTTGGTGATGAAGTGATTTCAGTGAAAACGTTTCACTCTCTTTCTCCTGAGCTTTATTCTGGATCACTAAACACAATGACAGGGTAGACATAATGTTATTTTGCATGGCTCTGAATTTAGTTAGGAAAATTAACTGATTTAAAGTACTATGGATTTCGAGTAGCTGTACGATGCAACTCCCAAAACATAATTTGAAGTCAGTGAGTGGAATTCTGTCAACTTATTTTACAAGAGTCCTGAATCTCTAAAATTAACTGTGTAAAATATCTCTGGTCCATTGGGCTTCATAGTAACATTCCAGGATTCATTTCATTCCCAGCAACATGGAAGTATTCTCAGTAAAGGTTTACACTGACCCCATTATTGTGTGCTTGCCCTGAATTTTGAGTCTTTCTCAATAAAGCCAGGATATTTGATTATATGACCTGAGCTGTTCTATACACTGATTTTCATCAAAGAACAAATGTTGAAAGCTCATTCTTGTGCTGCAGAGCTGTTATTTTCCTGTGTATACAAAATTCTTTACACATTAAAAAGTGAAGAGTTTTCTAAAGCATAGTTATTTGTTCCATATATCTTTGCTTGTAAATAGAGCAAGCTTGCTAGAACATTTAATTGAGACTTTAAGCTTTTGTGAGATATTAATGTGACATTGAGAAAATTTTAATCAATAGTTTATGTGTGAATTACAGGGAAACACATTTATAGCATTTCTCCAACCTCAGCAATATCCAGTATTTGAGCCTGGAATAAAGCACTTCATGTTAACTAGTAGTACATTGTATTGATTGCACTTCTTAGTTTGAAACACTAATTTAATCAAGCACAGTTTTTGTTTTGTTTTGTTTTGTTTTGTTTTGTTTTGTTTTGTTTTAAAGATGTGGAATGATTCACAGTAGAGAAGAATGTGCTGATGAACTAAGTTCAGAAAGCCAGTACAAGATGATTCCAGAGATCATGGTTGCTGGAACTGATACTCTTTTCAAGGCTTGAATGCTGGCATGAATAAATGCCAATGAATTTAGGCACAAATCCCCAGGACATAGGCCATATCCCTATCTGTTTGTCAGGGGATTGTGGAGCACATTGATTGAGAGCCCTATTAAGGCTGAATATAGTGGGTCACTGGTGGTTATTTGCCATACCAAAAAGGAGGGTTCTCAGAGACTGGTAAAAGAAGAGATGTCCACAGTAAGAATAAAATTTATTTGGCTGCTGCAGGTAGACACATACTTCTAAAAAAACCTAAGATCACTGTTCATATAGTTTTGATCTATCTTGAAGAAGTAGCCAATGGAGAAAATTTTATCTCTCTGTAAATAATATATATCATGAGGTCTCTACCCAGGATAGTATGAAATGTCTTTTAATATAATAACATTTTAAAACTTACTGTGCAATCCTTTAAAAAAATCTTTAAGTCTTGCTTGAATTCACATACTTGAAAGTGAATAGTTCCTGTGTTATAAACATGAATATGAATAAGCTAGATAGGAACAGGATGGTTCTAAGTAATCCATATGAAGGGAAACTTTCAGACAATGCTATGAATATTATGAAAATTCACAAGTAGATAAATGTAGAGCTACAGAAAAATTGTTGATTTTATCTGTGTTTGTTACTCTCCTTATGACACCAGATACTATTAGCAATGTATGCTTCTTTGAGGAGCAGAAATGCCAATTGTTCTCACTAGAATTTATTTCCAGACTACATATATTCTTCTCAATTAAGAATAACTTTTAAAACGAAATGAAATAAAATGGATTTTACATGAACTTATTATCTTTGGGAATTTCATCAGAATAGTTGAAGCTGATTATTTGTATAGATCTAGAATAGCCTTTGATGTAAAACTCATATTTTGTGTCATCAAAAATTTCCTCAAAATCATCTATTATTCCCCTTCTACATCGAGCACAGAAAAATTTAGACATTCATTGAAAACAGCCTTCTTGTTAATTAAAATTAAATTTGAATAAAATAATTATTGTAACATTTCTCATATTTTCCTTCCTTTATTAAAATTTAAATTTGGCTATGTGTCTTCTTGTTTTCTAGGGACCCTTACAATGCAATTGAAGCCATAGACCCAGAGAAACTGAATGTCTTTCGGACAGTCAGGGAGATAACAGGTAATTTTTTAAAGGGCAACTGTTGTGCTATGAACAATATAAACTTTTTAAATAAAATGACCTAAGATTGGCCGGTCACGGTGGCTTGCACCTGCAATCCCAACACTTTGGGAGACCAAGGGGGGTGGATCATGAGGTTAGGAAATTGAGACCATCCTGGCTTACATGGTGAAACTCCATCCCGGCTAAAAATACAAAAATTAGTTGGGTGTGGTGGTGCATGCCTTTAATCCCAGCTACTCGGAGGCTGAGACAGGGGAATTGCTTGAACCCGGGAGGCGGAGAGTGCAGTGAGCCGAGATCATGCCACTACACTCCAGCCTGGCAGCAGAGGGAGACACTGTCTCAAAAAAAAGTTACATAAGATTGGAATCAGCATCTCATTTTCAAAGCAAATTTTGGTTTGTAAAAACTCTTATTTTTAACAGTGGCGTCTTATTAGCTTTTATGCACATTTTCAAAGCCCATGGAATTATATAATGAATATCTTTGAAATTTTGACATTACTACTTAGGCAATTGTCAACTGATCTTTGACCTATGTTTTTCTGTTTACCTCTTCAGGAGATATACTATTGATCATGGATAACATGTATCATTTATTTAGCACATTTATATTGAGCATGTAATGTGTTCAACACTGTCTTAGTAGGTAATATGGGGCCCATAGATATGATTCAGACATGGACTTACCATAAAATAATGCAAATTCTAATGAGAAAGTTTAGATATGTATATTAATGTCTTAGGATACAATGTTGACACTGATGTCATAAGTGTACAGATGAAGAGGTAAAAGATTTCAGAGAAATTGAAACTATATTTTTCTCTTTAGTTAGACTACATTTTTACATTTATAAAAATAAATCAAATTGAGTCATTGGAACCTTTCAACATTTATAGTTTCATTGAGTAGGACACTCAATCTTGGAAAAATACATATGTAATAGAGTACTTCAAAAATAGAAATTTCATTATCCTTCCTCACTTCCCTCCTTTCAACACATTTTCACTATATTTCAAGAAAAATCTACACTAATACTAAGATGATGATATTCTGATTTATTTTTACTACTCTTCACTTGTAGGTTTCTTGAACATACAGTCATGGCCCCCAAACATGACTGACTTCAGTGTTTTTTCTAACCTGGTGACCATTGGTGGAAGAGTACTCTATAGGTAAGTGAATATGTTTAACACTCCAGGTCTCACAAATTTCAAGAGGAGCATTGTGTGTTCATTAAGTCAAAACCATCAGTCTTACTGATTTACTGATTCTGGGGAAATCATGCTTCTATCCTTATTTCCAGTGAAAATACCTCTGATGATCGTATGAAGTATTACAGAATACATAGTTTGATTTTTCAATTGTTTGTCACTCCACGTAATATGAGTATTTTGCAAGTATGGAGTACATGATGTGAGCAATTCAATTAAACTTTCATTTTTATCAGATTTATCATAATTAAAAGATAAGAGTTGTGTGACTTGGTAATGGCTTGGATGTATAGGATATCAATACTGTTGTGCTAGGAGGTGCTCTTTTTGTCTCTGGTGCTATAATTTTAACTGCATATCACAGGGCTGATGTTTTAGGAACTGGCCCACCACTCTACATGTAGTGCTGGTTAATAAATGGACAAAAAAATTCAGGTTTAGAAGAACATTGATAAGATTATAGTGTCAGTAATTTAAATTCACATTATAACAATAAATTACAGGTTTATCTGATTTCATCTGTATAATGTTTTTAGTTTGAGCAATAAAAAGTCAATTTACATAAGAATTTTTAAAATTTGTCCACTTAAATTCAAAATATCTCTAAAATTAATATCATCATTGATTTTATAATGTTTTATTAAAAGTATATTGAATTTTACTATTAAAATTCAAAACAGTTATATCTATAAGAGGTTTTAAAAATGTAAAGGAGAAAGGAGCTTAATAAGAAAGGATAGTTGAGCAATACCGTCTATTCAAGTGCTATATATAAACAACTTTTACTATCCATTGAATAAATATTATAGGACAGTCAAGACATTATGCTAACATTGTAATCAACAACTCAAGAGAGTGATGATGGGGACAAAATTTGAGAGAAAGAGTTACATGTTAGTCTTTATCATTGAGCATACACACACACACACACACACACACACTGACACCCATGGAAAATAATTCTAAATATTAACAGCAAAGAATATTTAAAATTATAAATGAAAGGGGAAAGCTTTGGTCTCTAAAATGTAAAATAATATTTATTGGCTAATTGAAATGTAGAAAGCATGTTTATTCTTTAGAGAATGGAAAAGTAAGTAATTACAAAAAAGTGAACCATATTAAAAGCAGTTCCTTTGAAATGATATTGTTTTAAACAGAGCAGTTGTTATTTAACTTTTAGAGACCTTTTCCCCAGATACCCAAGTCATCTAAGTTTGTTTTCTTTTTTAAATTTTAGTTTAGTTTTATTCTTTACTTTTTACTATCTCCTAACCTTATTATACATTCCTCAATTATTACAGTTCTTTGGTGTCTGAGGTATAAATTAAAGCTAAATACTCACAATCATTTTCTGTACTATCTACTCTCTGAAAGTATGTCCAAATCTATTACACAGTTAAAGAAGAATTAATGTCTTACTTTGAGTAGATAAACATTCATTTTGTAAACATGTCTTTACTCTTAATACAGGATTTCATCATTGAACAACATAAAGTTAAGACTTGGGGTGGGAAGACAGTGACCAGACATTTCAGTGGTAAATATATACACAGAAATAGAGATATACTGCCAATATGTATAACTGCAAGCAATGGACATTTTACTTTGGGAGGTCAAATTATTACTTTAAAAACTGATAATATATAGCATGTAAAAACGAATACCATTCTAAACACAGATTTATGGATTCAGCCTCTGTTTATACTCCATTAACATTCTTTTTGAAATAAAATGTGACAGCCTTATTTTACTTCTAGAATGCTTTCATTGTTCCATTTTCTCCCTCCCTCCTCCTTAGTGGCCTCTCCTTGCTTATCCTCAAGCAACAGGGCATCACCTCTCTACAGTTCCAGTCCCTGAAGGAAATCAGCGCAGGAAACATCTATATTACAGACAACAGCAACCTATGTTATTATCATACCATTAACTGGACAACACTCTTCAGCACAATCAACCAAAGAATAGTAATCCGGGACAATAGAAAAGCTGAAAACTGTAGTAAGTACATTATTCAGACATTTAAAACATAGAAAACTATTTTTTTCCCGTTCTTTTTTGGTCCAAACAATTAAAAATAACATCAGGTCAGAATTGTTGCTGTCTTATCCCAACCCTTAAAAAGCAAGGTAGTTATTACAATTGTCAACATGGTATATAATAATCAGAATAAGTGACTGTCTACAACATATGACGTATTTATTTCCAAGTTTTCTTACCTAATCTTAATAATTCTCCTGTGGATATTTGGATTCAGTAGGTCTAAGTGGAACCCGGGCGTTTAAATGTTTAATCAGCATCCCAGGTAATTTCAAGTATCCAATCAATTTGTGGAGATCCACCCTATTGAATTCTCGGTTTGTTGTTTGGTTTCAGTGAGTTTGATAACAGAATAACAGAGTTTTGCCATTTATGGGTAGTAAGAGAAAGGAAGATGTATTTTTCTGACGTGTAAAAACTACTATTCAAGAAGCGTACTGTTCAAGAAAGTTTATTGTTCAGAAAGAAAATTTATTTTATAAGTGCATTTATGTAGACATGTAATTATCTTTTTCCACCTATTTTGCTACTTATTGATTCATTTAATAATTTCTTATTTACACTGAAGCAAAAACTGCTTTTGTAGGCACATGACTATGCCATTTCTTTCTAATACACTGGTACTCCAATGATTTATCCCTGTTTTTCTATTGAATACTACTCTTTCCTACATCCTGAGTGCCACTATCATGAGTACAACCATCTGACTTATGGTAAATACCAAATAAAAAGACTCCAAACTCAAATGATCTGTTTGCAAATGAATATTCTTGTTGTGGGCACAAAATCAATCCATTCTAAAAGACAGAATCCTAGAAAATTCTGTTCTTAGGGTATTTTCTTACTTCTTTGATTTCTCCATTGAAGCAATCATAAGGGTACACATAAATAATGATTGAGTTTGTGTGTGTGTGTGTGTGTGTGTGTGTGTGTGTGTGTGTGTGTGTGTGAATAAATAGAAGACTTTTTAAAAGTCATAAACCGTTAAGAGGCCAACATAATTTGTTTATTGAGTTGTCAGTGAATTAATTGATTTACTAATACCGTATCCTGTCCCAGAAATAATTTAAGGCAGCTCAATCTGTCAATCTTCATAAAACATAACATATTTTTTGAGGAATTCTCTTATATTTTAGCTGTTTTGAGCCCTTAAAAAATTTCCAAATAAAGGAGATCTATTGCAACATGAAGCTCCTGCTTTGAATTTAAGTTCTTACGCATTCTTCTGTTCCTCATAGAATCAAGAAATAGAAAATCTAATTATGTATACAAATATACATGTTATATTGAATAATATTTATTATTTCATTTATCCTGTTATATTTCCTTGTTTTACACATTACTGATTCCTAAAAGAAAATTTGCTTTGCTTTTTCCCTAATACTTAAACTTCTTACTGCACATTACAATATGTATGTGTACATGCCCCAAAGTAGATTATTCATGGTAATAAGATAGAATCTTCTTCAATACCAATTGATGAATGTTTCCCTAAATCAGGCTTATACTGTTATTTCCTTTGATGTCCTTACAAAAAATTAGTACCACTACTCTTCAGAAATGTAACTATGAATTTAAAATAATGTAAAGAAAATTATAAAAGAATCAGAGAGAAACATTCATCTTTGATGCACTTAATCAGTTTATGAATCTTACAAAAATTTGTATTTCATATATTTTCTATGCTTGAATTAAAAAGCAAATGGGGAGAAAAAAATGCCAAAATTAATATAGGGAAGCAAGATGGTAAGAAAGGGATGTTTCATTAAATTATATAATGTTATTTCACAACTTTTACAAAGTTCTAAACATTTCAAATGACCAAAAGAAAGTGAATAATAATAATGATAAGCAAAAATCTAAAATGTGTTTAAACTTTTAGTGTTATGCTTCCTGGATTGAGGCTACCTGCTTTTCAGACCACAGACATTTTTGTTGTTGTTGTTGTTGTTCTGTGCACATGAGTTGACTTTGCAGTTTGAGAAAAAAAATGAATCAGTTATGAGAAACATAGGTTTGTGGTGCTATAGTATCAAGTATATAATTTTTCTTTTTTAATATCTTAGAATAAGTATATTTTGCATGAAATTCATTTACCAAAATTTGGATTTCAGTTCCACTGCACACTGGATCCATAAAAATTCCATATGTCTCCATTTTCAGAAATGTAATTACCCTGTAAACTTGACCTCAGAGATGCTGCTGATGTTTACAATAAGCCTGCAATGGTTCCCCTCATATGATTAAAATCTTATCATCCCCCAGTACTATTTGTAAATGTGAATGTCTAAATGATTGCTTCATTTCAAATGCACTGTAAATGTTTTATTTTTAGATATTCTGTCTTTGTATATCATACACACACAAGATGTACATGAGCATACACACATGTTCACTACTAGAACACATAAACGTATATACAGCCTGCATATCTGTATGCAGTTCCACGTACAACACACATGCATATACACACTTAGTAACAGATTCATACATATACACCCTTACATGCCCACCTACAGTTACATGCATTCACCGTGAAATACTCTGATCTAAACCTGGGAGTTGGCTTCTGAACTTAATGAAAAGGCAATCTTCCATTTGTAAGTGTTTATTGGAGCTCAACATGATTTACAACAGTAATGACAATTAAAAAATAAAGTTAACTCATCTATAAAGAGTAACAGTGGCTAGAGCCACTATTTTGACTTTTAAGTCAAAAATTTCAAAGCTGAGTTTATGATTTGAAGAGTTTGAGATTGAGGGAAACTCTGGGACATGAAAAGCTAGAATATTTTGGGCCTCTATTATTCATGTGGTTATGATAGTAACAAAATTACAGTGTAGGGTGGAAGAAGTTTTAAGGTAGGCTTATAAAAGCATTTGAAGTTTCTTAAAATATTTAAGCATAAATTTTTTAACATTGAAATATAAAGTGTAGAGATAAATATTACACCAACCCTTCAGAATCTGAGTTATATTTGAACTTATACATCTCAAGTCTTAAAAATATTTATATAGATACTGTTAAATCCAACATGAATAAGAAATTAAATTCATTAATATATATTCAATGTAACATGTTTTTATTTTTGATTTTATTTTTAATATATATTCAATATAAAATGTTTTGATTTTCAATATAAAAATGTTTTTATTTTTCCAGTTATAATGGTACTTTTCCCATTGTTCAAAATAAAACCAATCCAAAAATATATAAAAATATAAAAAATATATATTTACTGGTGAATATATTTTTCATATATATAGATAAGAGTAGTGACATATGTATTTTCATATATAAATGGGATCTTACCTTTCTATTTAAATACCGTTCAGCCATCTATTTATACTTAATATAGTATAAGCATCTCCCATGTCAGTATATAGATCTTCCTCTTTTTTTTTTTTTTTGAGATGGAGTTTTGATCTTGTTGTCCAGGCTGGAGTACAGTGGCCTGATCTCGGCTCATTACAACCTCCACCTTCCAGGTTCAAGCAATTCTCCTGCCTCAGCCTCCTGACTAGCTGGGATTACAGGCATGTGCCACCATGCCCGGCTAATTTTGTATTTGGTAGAGACGGAGTTTCTCCCTGTTGATCAGGCTGGTCTCAAACTCCTGATCTTAGGTGATCTGCCCACTTCAGCATCCCAAAGGGCTGAGATTACAGTCATGAGCCACCGCGCCTGAACTTCCTTAATCCTTTTTAAAGCTATTTATAGAAGTATGCAGGGCCAGGACCATATTAATGGTATTTCAAATTATTTTCCATTTGTATATTATCACTGCCATAATGTGTATCTTAGTTCATGAAACATTTTGTAGTATACAATTATTTCCTGAGGCTAAAAACTTAGATGTGGAATTTCTGTATAAATAAGACTGCATAAAAATTTTCTCACTAATTTCTGCAGCATCTTCCAAAAATACTAAATTAATTTACCCTTGTTCCAAATGCTGTGTGATAGTAGCATTATTCACCACCCTTTACATTACTGGATATTATCTATGGTTTTTAATTCAATGATCTAAAAAAAGAAAAGTATTTTATATTTACATTATTAATTTATCATTTTTTTGTCTTGTACATTGCTTTATCTGTGAACTTTTTTTTTATTTTCAATTTGGGATTTGATCTTTTTCTCCTAAATTTGAAAAAAGACTATTAACAAATTAAATTCATTAAATTTTGTTCCTTCAATGTGTTGGGAATAACTTTCCTTCTTTATGGTAATTTGAATAATTTTTCTTAAGATAAACCAGTATTTATCAAACCATATTTTTATATATTAAGTGGTTAGATTGTTCTTTTCCTTTTTAATTGTTTTATCTTGTATTTTTAGACAGTTCTTTTCTTCTAGTACTTTAAAAAAACATTGAAATTTTTAACACATCTTGACTTTTTGGCATAGCATTTTTAAAAAGTTCCTGATTGTGGTATGGATCCAAAATAATTTATTAATCTCTCCTTATTGACTTTAGCTGATCAGCTAACAAATCAGCTAAAAGGTGTCAGACTCTGTCTCTCAACCTACCTATATTGTTTAATTTGGGTATTACAACCACCCTGTAAAGTATAATTATCCCCATTTACAGATGAGTATACAAATGTTAAGAAAGTTAAATAATATTTCCAGTTTGGGAGCTACTAAAATCATATTAAAGATTTAAACCCAATGTCTGTCTGATTTCAAAGTGTAGACTCTTCATTTCACAAAGATTCCTCTCAAAGTAAAGAAAATATTGGCCAGGCATGGTGGCTGATGCCTATTATCTCAGCACTTTGTGAGGCAGAGGTGGGCAGATATCCTGTGGTCACGAATTCGAAGACCAGCCTGGCTGACATGGTGAAATCCCACCTCTACTAAAAATACAAAAATTAGCCAGGTGTGGTGGTGGGCACCTGTAGTCCCAGCTACTCGAGAGGAGAATTACTTGAACCTGGAAGGTGGAGGTTGCAGT